ATGTTATCAGGAGGGATCAGTCCCTGGAGAAGGACATCATGCTTGCTAAAGTACAAGGTCAGCAAAAAAGAGGAAGCTCATCAATGAGATGGATTGACACAGTGGCTGCAACAATGGGCTCAAGCATAACAACGATTGTGAGGATGGCACAAGACTGGGCAGTGTTTTGTTCTGTTGTACGTAGGGTCACTATGAGTCAGAACCAACTCGATGGCAGCTAACAACAACTACAAGGGCCAGTTAGAGGAGGCTTAACCTACATAGAAGATATAAGGGGAGCAGTCAGAAAGGTAGGAAGAAAAAAAATGAGGAGAATTTATAGATAAATTTCAAGAGGATCATCTAAGAAAGAGAGAAAATTTCAACACTATTGAATACTTTTATGTGTTTAACTTGAGATTTGTAAATGATTATTGAACTTAGTGACGGTAAAGCAATTAGCAAATTTATCAGTAGCTATTTAGTAGAGTCATGAGGCTGGAATTCAGTTTCTAATGAACTAAGTGGAAAATAATTCAGAGACTAAGTAAATCAATTTCCCTTCCTTCCTTCCTCCCTCCCTTCCTCCCTCCCTCCCTTCCTTCTTTCTTTCTCAAGGTTTGTCTATGAAGGAGGGAGGTGAGATATATGGTAAAAATTGGAAGAGGATGAAGAAGTAGAGTGTGTAGTTTGTTTCGGTAGACGGAAAGTGTTAAACGTATTGAGAGCCAGAAGAAGGTTTTAGACAAGAGGGATAGGTTGAAAATGGAAGAGAAAATGGATAATCAATAGTGTAAGGTTCCTGAGAAGTCAGGAGGAGATAGAAGCCAAAGCACAGTGAAGTAATTAAACTTAAGTGGATGATAGAACTTTTGTTATAATAAGTGGGGAGGAAGCAGACGGAAGTACATTTCTCTGTTTGGTTTCAGGAATGTGAGGACATTCCCATCTGATGACTTCATAATGGAAAGAGTTAAATTCTTCTGCTGAGAGTCAAGGACGGATGAGGGGAAGTAGGATGGACGGGCATTTGAAAAGAATGGAAGATTGAAATATATGTTATGGAGAATGAAATATTAAGTTGATCAGATAATATACTGAGATTACTACTGGACAATACTGAAGGTCCATTTAAGGTTGGGGATCATGAATTTATAGTGGAATCAAGATGCCTCGTTTTATGATTTTTTTGTCCCAGCGGGCTTCCTGGATTCAGGCATGGAAGACAGGGATCAAGAGAGTTATCTGAGGCTTATCCAAGTAGGCATGAGGAGAAGACAAAATGCTGTCAAAATATGGTGAAACCTAAGTTATATATTTCGATCAATTTAGGCTTAATTATGCTCTGATAATATAAGGAACTCAAAAAGCTTACTAGCTGACAGCATCAATAACAACAACAAAATTGTATCTCTTGTATTCTGCACCGCTTATCCTCACTTAAAATCTATGCTGATAGAGTAGCACCTATCTGGGACACTGCTCGTCTCCTGGTACAGGGAAGAAACAATACGGAAAAACAATGTGACGGCCCTTGTGGCTTCTTCTTAGCAGTGGTACCTGTCACTTTTGATCACATTACATTGAACAAAGTAAGGCACATGGCTACTGCTGAGTTCAGCAGAGTGAGGATGTATAATCTCAGACAGAGGTGGGCACCTCAAGTCAAATGACTGAGTCTGATGTGACATAAAGAGGTGGGCAAGTATAGTCATCCCTGAGGGAGGGGCAGTACATAGTTTGAATAAGAACACAATCAACCACAATGGATAAGTGTGAATGAAAAAAGAAAGGGGGTGGGGGGAGCTGATGAACCAGGAGAAAGCAGAAGGTCAATTAATTTTTATATCTTGAAAAGGTTGAAGAATAATCATTACAGAAATAATTGAACAAAGACGGCAGAAAGAGAAGAAATGTTGAGAGCAGGATACTTAAATTAGTGATTTTGGAAGTCTGTGTTGTTGCTAGCTGCCATTGAGTCGGCACCCAACTCAAGGCGACCCCGTGCACAACTGGACAGAAAGGTGCTGGGTCCTGCACCATTCCCATGATCAGTTGCAGATCGGATTGTTGTGATCCGAAGAGTTTTTATTGGCTGGTTTTCGGAAGTAGACCACCAGGCCTTTTTTCTTTGTCTGTCTTAGTCTGGAAGTTCCCCTGAAACCTGTTCAGCATCATAGCAACACGCAAGCCTCCACTAACGGATGGTGGTGAATGCAGATGAGGTGCATTTGACCAGGAATCAAGCCTGGGTCTCCTGCATAGAAGGAAAGATTCTACCACTTAACCTTAGTTACTGGAAATGACGAAGTCCAGAGTGTGTAAAGGTGGGTTGGGATGATGGTTTCTGGGGGTGAGAAGGCTGAAAAACAAAGAGGTTATGGTGTTTAATGGGGACATCCAGAGATATGGTAAGGTGGAAGGAAGAAATTGAATCAGGCAACAGAGTCTTCAATGCATGCGGAAGACCTAAAAGTTTGCTGTTGTTGTCAGGTGCCGTTGAGTCGGTTCTGACTCATACCAACCCTGTGTGCAACAGAGCAAAACACTGCCTGGTCCTGCACCATCCTCACAATTGTTGCTATGCTTGAGCTCATTGTTGCAGCCACTG